TCACGCCTCTCTCGGTTCGCTCGCCGCGAGGAAGCAGAACCCTCCCGTGCTGTGCCACGGAGCAGCTGTTCTCTAGTCCCACGTAGTCGATCCTCGACTCCCCTTCCCCCGTGGAGTGACACGGGTGAAAAGGTTTACAGACAAACACACACACACACACCACGCACATTCAGTTGCCGCGTTTGGTCCTCTTCGAGCTTTCACAGCAGTCTTCAAAAAATATGTACCAAATGATCTCAGTGCGCGTCTTCATAATTTCATGTCGTTATAACGGGTCGTGCTCTCGTATCGTGCGCGCAGCCGTAATTGTCACGCCGTGTGATCTTCATCCCACTCGGTTCATCGCTGACTGAGACGTTGATAAAACAATTATTCTGGAAACATTCCATCGCTAAAAATGTAGTGTCGCTCAGTCCCTGTCCCGGGCTCGAACCCACCTCCAGCTCAGAGGTGATAAGGAGCCTTTTGCGGTCACCCCTCGGGCAACGAGGTTTTGACAAAACAAGTCCCGGGGCCGACAGGGCAAGCGTAACGACTCACGACACACGGGGGGCGGTGTAGGAGGAAGTTCCACAAGGGAGGAAGCAAGAGGTCGAAGGGGAAGGTGAAAAATGAAAAAGAGAGAGAGGAAGGAAGGGAGGGGTTTTTTTTTCTTCTTCTTCTTTTGGGAGGAAGGAGGATTGCGAGGTTGTTGTTTGTGCGCGCAACCGGGTAGCAAGCACAACATTTAACGCCTCTTAACGCGCCAAGGACATGAGCCACGAAAGGACGAATAATAACAACAATGATCGGAGCCACACGCGGAACGTGAAACAAGATTCAAAAACAAAAAAAATGAAACAACGACGTGGGGCTCCTCGCTAGCGCAACGTTGGAAAACAAAACGCCAACACCTCCGCTCCGGCTCCGGCTGGAGACTTCACGCTCCTGCTGCTCCACGCGATGCAGAATCGTCGGTCACGTGACCGAAGCCCCAGCTGATTTGTTGTCACCACCTGCCACTTGTCAAGGGGCAATTAAATTAATTAAATTAACAATAATTCATCGCACGCAAGATTATCTGTGGTTGTTGCTGTTGTTGTTGTTATTAGGGGTGGAAACATTTATTGATTGGCCCGACTCGTAGCCACCGGTGCTTCGGTGACTTTTCAGGATTTAAGACAACCGTCGCGAGAATCAATTAGCTACACCGCACGGATCTGCTGGCTGCAGCCTTGCAATACGGTAATGAATTGATCTCATGATGAGAGGGCAAATCATCATCATCATCACGATGCATGGGCAAGCCTATAGAGGTGTCCACTGCATTCTTCGTCATTTGTTTCCACTTTCCTCTGTCTCGTGCCATATGTTCAGGTAGTGTGCCACATCTGTCTGACACTAGCCTTGTGTGTCGTCGTCAACCCATCATCTGTTAGCTCTTCCTTTCTTTCCAGTTACTTCCTTCCAAGTAGTGCAATGAAATAGGAATAGGTTTTTTTTTTTAATTCAAGATAACTCTTGCAAATGTTTACCAAGGAAGGGTATCCTCCTTGCCCCCTTATTTTCAGGGGGGGGGGGGGGGCAAGATCATGAATTTACATCTCGGCTGTGAGAAAAGGGAAAAAAAAACTGCCCTCCAAATTTATAAAAAAAAATAAAAAAACAGAAGAGCCACTCCGTTTGAAACTCAGACGATGCTTAGTGCTGGAGCAAAGGGGATGAGCACTTGTGGAGGGGGGGGGGGGGGGGTGAGGGCGACCCCACAGGGCCGTTGTCCGCGTTCCCAGCAGCTTCTGCTCCTCCCTCCAAATGTCCATTTCTAAACTAAAACAATGTTTTTACATCTTTATTTGACCAGGAAAGGCCCACTGAGCTGTATAGATCTTTTTCGGAAGCGACCTCGCCACAAGTGATAGCTCAACAAAGTGGCTTATCGCGTGGAAATGTATAGCAAATACTCTAAACGCGTGATGTTCATTCTAAATGTGGAGGCACAAACCGGAGGACCTGGAGACAAATCCACGCGACCACGAGGAGAACATGCAAACTCCAAATATACAGGAGGTAGGGTCAGGATTGAACCCACGTCCTCCCGTATACCAGGCGAGGTAGTTAAAATCTCACCACTTTGTTGAGATTTTATCAGTCTCCAATCATCCCCGCTCAGTCTCACAAACACACACAGACACAAACACAAAGTCGGTATCACGCGCACGCACATACACAAACACGCATCCGTATCTCCGTGGCTGCCTTTCTCTCTCTTCTCTATGGATGTGTTCTCTTGACGCTCTCCCCCCCCGACCCAATTTTCCCCGTCTCACTTTGTTCATTCCCTCTCCCACCATGCCCCTTCTACCTCTCCATGTGTTCGTTTCCACCTTCCTCCTCCTTCCCTCGGTGTCTCTCTCCCCCCTCTCCTCCGTTGCTAAGCCACGCTCGCTCTCTGTTTTTCCACAACTGCCTCGGCTTCTATCTCAACATCTTCCTCCCAAACCCTTGATGCAGCTCCCTCTCACCCAAACCCCTGACCCCATCCCCCGTTCTCACTCTGCCTCCCCATCGCACTATTTCACTCTGCCTCCCCACTCTCTAAAATTGCCCTCCTCTCTCTCTCTCTCTACCTCTTTCACACTCATCCACTCAAGCCTCCCCCTTTTCTCCATCACTCTGCCCTTTCCCTTCCCTCCCACCCCCGCCTCCCATTCCACGGCCTCTCCCCTCAATCTCCATGCATCCCCTCCTCCTCGCAGCGGCAGGAGAGGAACCCACTCGCTCGCAACCTCACACACACCTCTCTCTCTCTTTCTCACATCTATCCATTTTTGCAACGACCTTTCTCTCAGCTCCGCGCAGAATCACAAAACACACGCCCGTGCCTTTGCCGCTCTCTTTCAAGCCTCCCATTCCCGCCCTCTTTCACATTATCCTGCTTTTCATCGCTCTCCTATTTCTCTCTACCCCGCTGCTCTTTTATCTTCATTTTTTTGCCCGTTGCTTCACATTTATTTTTTTGCGTGCGCAATGTTGCCCCAACCTCCTTTTATATCTGCTCATTCTTCATTCCTTTTCTTCTGCCTTTTATACTACAAACCACCACAACCCTCCCCCCCCCCCAAACAACTGTAGTATATTTATTTTTGTTGTTATCATTTATCAATCATCGTCGTCGTCGCAAGCAGCATTCAGACGGCGCGACGCGTAATGTTCCATAATTCATTTCTGCTCCGCGTCACACACAGTTCCTTTCAAATCTCTCTGCGCGACTCGGAGCGAAAATCCAGGCCTGGCATTGCCAGCAAGCGGTGCCCCCGGGACACCAGAGCCCGTCAGCTCGCTGGCGGCGGCGGCAGCGGTGCTGAAGAGGCCAACGATGATGAGGGTAGCGAAGGGGTGGGATGACGTGATCTTGGCCAGCTGTGTTTCACGTAGTCGGCATGGGGCCCTGGTGCAAAACGAGGAATTAGAATGGTTCCCCCCCCACCCCCCCCCCCCCCCGCTGTCAAATTTACTGCTTTCTCTTCCTAGCCGGGAGCCCGGACCCTTCCGGCACGTGGTGTCCCGGGGGCAGCTGCGCCGCCTGCACAGCTCGATAGCTGTGTCCCACCGATCGTGGCACAGGTGCTGTAGCATCGTCATGGCGCGGTGCTCACGGTGAGCGACAGTGATTATTCGGCTCTTCTCAGAGCCGCCGCAGCCAAAACGCGGCCGTCAGGGTTCGCTTGCCGCCGGCTATTTTCGCGGTGACACGAGCACTAGCATACGGGCGATGACACGCGGACACCGACGACGACGAAGAATGGAGCGAAACCGGAAGGTTTGTCGAGATCCTTGGAATTTCACCACGAAGCAGAAAGAGGAACGCGCGAGTGAAAGACACCGTCATAGGGCCTGCTGAGGAGAGTGAGTGGGATTGAGCAGGGCACGTGGTGGCCAGTGGTCGAGACTCACGGCGGAGTGGCGGCCAAAGGAGAGACACGCGCTTGAGAGGACGTCACCACGGAGATGGAGCGATGCAAATCAAGAGCTAGACGAACTGTTGCATCGTAAGACTGAGATGGCGACAGCTTGGGGAGGGCCTTCAGCCAGCTGTTGGTAGATCTTGGCTGATGATGGCCTTTAACACATTTACGTTCACTTTATATGATATATACTAAGAAAGACTCTCGATTAGTCCTCCAGTCTATACCTGTCAACCCCTTGTCAGTGCCGACCTTATTACAGACCAATTCAAGCCTTACTGGTCACCCCGTGCCCTTATAAATCTCAACGTTCATCCTACGAAGTGACATCACAAGGGAGAAACACAAACAAATAGATACAAAAACATCATTTAGCTCGAATTGAAACGGCTGAACGCCGTATGGACCTGAATATGGGTAAACCGTATGGGAATGAGAGTCAATGAAATGAAATGTCTGTTAGCAGATAATACCAAATAATGTGTACTATATTTTTTGTACTGCAATAATTACACAAAGTTTAATCCCTTTTGAAATCCACTGCTAGACGAAGGCCTCCCTGCACCACGTCGGTCATGGGGGAGGAGGGGGGGGGGGGTTTGACCATACTTCACAAGCAGTTAATCGACAGTGGGATGTAATTGAACAACATTATCATTCCGCCGACAGTGTTCATCCGGCGAATTATTTCTGTAACAAAAAGGCCCGTGGAGATGCGAGTCGCTGAAAAGGGACGACGGGTTTAGCCCAAAATGCCCCAATTAAACGGTGGACACGGGCTTATCAGTCGATGGCATTTTGCAGTGCAGCTGCGGCGCCTTTTCGTGTGTCTGGTGGGCGGCCTGGTGGCTGCAAAAAAAAAGAGGAAGTGGAGGCTTGTTCGAGTCCTCTTCCCCTCCCTTCCTTCCTTCTGTGCACTTTTTTTTAACCGAGAGGGCGACTCGTGTTCCAAACAGCCCTGCCCCTTAATTCTCCCTCTCTCCCTCTCTCCCTCTCTCCCTGCCCCTCTCTCATCGAAGTGCTCTTCCCCTGCGCTCTCAAACCCCTCGGCGTCAGCCGGGTCCCCCCCCCCCCCCCGCCAGTGTCACCTCCGAGCCATCCGAGTATAAAATCGGGACATTTTTCCCCAACAATCGTTTAATCGCTGCCATTTTTCCAACCAGCGCGAACGCGTGTGGGGAGGGAGCAGCGACAGAGGCTGCCACCGTGGAGGCGAGGGAGGGCTGGGGGGACCTCTCGTCATTGCCGTCAAGCGGACGAGCGCCAGTTCGACGGGGGCTCATCGCGCCGCTGATTCACGTCGTCGACACCGCGAGGTACCACGACCTCCCGTAAGCAGCGCTCCGGGCAACAGCAGGTGGGGGCGCATCAGTCGCGGGCCGGGGTGGTCGGGAGAGGAGAGCTCACGCGAGTGCCTCGTCTGCGGACCTCGCGAGTCTTGGCCGGAGCGGCCGGACCGGACGCATCAGCCGCTGTTGCTGCCGGCGTGCGACACCTCGACAGCGTGAGCTTTCATCACTGATTGGCTTCTTTTCTACACCATCTGCGACCGTTAACGTGAGAATGCGAGAGAGAGAGAGAGAGCAACGCGGTTCGTCGGGACCCCGAGGTGCGAGTTCCAAGTCGAGCTCACGTGGCGAAGCGGTGCTGTTTTAAGTCTCGAACGACCGGCGTGCTCACGGTCGGCGTGGTAGTCACGGTCGGCGTGGTGGACACAGTCGGCGTGGTGGTCACGGTCGGCGTGGTGGTCACGGTCGGCGTGGTGGACACAGTCGGCGTGGTGGTCACGGTCGGCGTGGACACAGTCGGCGTGGTGGTCACGGTCGGCGTGGTCACGGTCGGCGTGGTGGTCACGGTCGGCGTGGTCACGGTCGGCGTGGTGGTCACGGTCGGCGTGGTAGTCACGGTCGGCGTGGACACAGTCGGCGTGGTGGTCACAGTCGGCGTGGTAGTCACGGTCGGCGTGGTGGTCACGGTCGGCGTGGTAGTCACAGTCGGCGTGGTAGTCACGGTCGGCGTGGTGGTCACGGTCGGCGTGGTGGTCACGGTCGGCGTGGTGGTCACGGTCGGCGTGGTCACAGTCGGCGTGGTGGTCACGGTCGGCGTGGTGGTCACGGTCGGCGTGGTGGTCACGGTCGGCGTGGTAGTCACGGTCGGCGTGGACACAGTCGGCGTGGTGGTCACAGTCGGCGTGGTAGTCACGGTCGGCGTGGTGGTCACGGTCGGCGTGGTAGTCACAGTCGGCGTGGTAGTCACGGTCGGCGTGGTGGTCACGGTCGGCGTGGTGGTCACGGTCGGCGTGGTGGTCACGGTCGGCGTGGTCACAGTCGGCGTGGTGGTCACGGTCGGCGTGGTGGTCACGGTCGGCGTGGTGGTCACGGTCGGCGTGGTGGTCACAGTCGGCGTGGTGGTCACGGTCGGCGTGGTGGTCACGGTCGGCGTGGTGGTCACGGTCGGCGTGGTGGTCACAGTCGGCGTGGTGGTCACGGTCGGCGTGGTGGTCACAGTCGGCGTGGTGGTCACGGTCAGCGTGGTGCTCACGGTCGGCGTGGTGGTCACGGCAGCCGTGACGACATTAAAACTAAAGCCCTGCACTGGGAAGGGCAGGGCATGGGCAGCTGTGCCAGGACAGCTGTGCCCGGGCTGCTGTGCCCGGGCTGCTGTGCCCGGGCCACCGTGAACTGCCATGTGCTGTGCACGGCGTTAGTTGCAAAGTGGTCACGTGCACCGGTACGAAGCCAAATAATCAAAAACCGTGTTGGGAATACCTACTGTATACCATCTTTAACTCGAGCGGGGCTGTTTAGTTGGGTGCAAAGGCTGGCCGATTTGTTAAAAGGGGAATATCAGAAAGCTGACATCAGGAGAAAAAATAAAGCATGCCCTGATACGCTTCAATTAAATATACACGCTTTCCGTCACTCTCTTGAAGGCTCACCAAATCATCATATGAATTAACCTTTACATTTTAGTTTTATCTTTCAAAAAGCCATCTTATTCAGATGGAGAACTCCACCGTGGCCGTACGCAATGTACCGCCGTGCACCCGACCACTGTGACCGATGGGGGGTACAGCAAAAGGCTCGATACGACGTGAAGCGAGAGTCTGCGTTCAAGCAACGCGCAGGCGCGCACAAACACTTGGGCATCAGTTTGACAGCTCGATATGACCGCTCTGTAAAAAGAACAAACGAGCCGTGTGTCTGTGTGAGAAGGTATTAATAAGTATCACCGTTATTTTATTAATCCCAGGCAACATTATGCGATCCGACACAACTGTGATCTATGTTTCATGTTGTGCTCGCTCAGGAGTATTTAATGATACTGCACACCTTATGTTAAAAGAGTTTCTCGCTGGTCTTAAGCTGCGAAAGGTCAGAGTGCACGCCCTGCGCTACACCCCCCGTTACATGTCGTCGCAGCAGCTCGGGCCCTCCGGTGCGGTTTGCAGGGGATGATGTCCGACGTTTCGCACCCACGTGCCGGGAGACTGAATTTCAGGAAGTGAACTGCAGGAAGTGACATCATGCCGAAACGACGCACGGTACAATCACGAAAAACACACGGGGGAAAAGCTGTGCAGAGCGACTGCACTTCGCAGCGTCACCGTCGTTACGCAATATTTTACCCTCCTTTCGCTCACATGTTGAACCATTTCCACGTGCGGAATTAAGCTAGTTAATTCGCCGAAGTGACATTTATTGATTAAGTCATTATCAAGTGCTAGGCTCCAAGGGACACCTTCCGCCAAGTGACTTATCAGAAGACAGAAATTAAAACGTTCTGCAACAGATTACCATTTAGCCCGATCACTAAATCAAGAACTGCCTGCGAATAATAGATCATGAAACCCCGTGTTGTTCACCGTGTCCCCTTCCCCACAGAGACGGTACACTTCTTGATGGGCCCTGGCGTGTTTCTAAATGTACACAAGCAGTGCCCATCTAATCCCAGCTTTCCTCCGAGATAAAGAAGTCTCGTATCTCGCCCGGCTGGCAGCTGCTCCTAAAATAAGGGAAATTTAAAGTTGACTGGAAGTCATTATCGCGCACATCGCCTGCACTTGACACCCCACGTGGCCCTGGCACAGTGGGGATGTTGCCACATTCGTACGAATGTGCGTTGAACTTCTTTTGCACCGTACGTAGCCAACCGTGCTAATCGGAGGGAAGGACAACAAACTGAACACAAAAAGCAGTTCCAAAGAAATGAATGGCTTGGAAAGGGGCATCTGTATGTAAACAATTGTTTAACTTATAATAAGCTCGTGTTCAGAAATTAGTTTTGAATCTAGATTTAAAAGTGCACAGCTCCATTGGCTTCCTCACATCGGAAGGAAGAGCATTCCAGACGGCCGCAGAGGCTCATCTGAAAGTGCGCGATGCAGTGACCCGTCTTTGTTCAATGGTTAGCCCAAAAGCGACTGCGAGGATGACCGGAGTTTGCGTGGCGATTTATGCCCCTTGACGAGGTCAGCAAGGTAATTGTGGCTCATTTGTGGCAAGCGCTTTGTGCGTAACGACTGCGACCTTGTAATGTTTTCGTTCGGTAGCCAATGCAGCTCAGCGAGCACCGGACGCGTTAGTGGGGGGGGGGGGGGGGATGGCAAGAGCGCGTCTCATCTACTGCCCTCGCGGGGTCTGGCAAAGCGTCAACTTGGCGTGTGCACGGTCCCACCAAGAGGTGGATTTGTTTTGCTCGGGGCGCTGCGTGAAACACCGCACGTACGTATTGCTGCCCCTCGTCAATCCACTGCTGGATGGCGGTTTTGTAGGGGCTGTGCGAATCGTAATGTTTATTCATCCTGGAGAAATCCGATGAGCTATGAAGCTCTTTTTCACAGATGTCCGGTAGGGAAACGATGCGGAAAACAGTAAACAATACAACACAAATTGTGTGACCATACCTGACCGTGCTGGTCAGTGCCGCTTTGGCTACCGCACCTCCCCGAACTTTGCTTTGCCCACGCCGCCTCTGCCATGAGAGTTTCCTGGCCAAACTTCACCACGCCGGCTCCGCCATGAGAGTTTCCTGGCCACGCTTCACCACGCCGGCTCCGCCATGAGAGTTTCCTGGCCACGCTTCACCACGCCGGCTCCGCCATGAGAGTTTCCTGGCCAAACTTCACCACGCCGGCTCCGCCATGAGAGTTTCCTGGCCAAACTTCACCACGCCGGCTCCGCCATGACAGTTTCCTGGCCAAACTTCACCACGCCGGCTCCGCCATGAGAGTTTCCTGGCCAAACTTCACCACGCCGGCTCCGCCATGAGAGTTTCCTGGCCAAACTTCACCACGCCGGCTCCGCCATGAGAGTTTCCTGGCCACGCTTCACCACGCCGGCTCCGCCATGACAGTTTCCTGGCCAAACTTCACCACGCCGCCTCCGCGCGGCATTGGCCGACGGTCGCGATTTGCCGGGCCGCCCTCAGGCGTCCGGAGCGAGGGTTCCGTCCCGGAGTCTCTCCTCTCTCCCCGCAGCCGCGTCGCTGGCTCGCCCCGTCGCGCGTCACCAACGCGTGGCATTTCGGGGCTCGGAGAGTGAGAAATCGCCGGCGCCCGCCACCCTCCGGGGTTTCTGATTTAAGCTCGAGGCGCTCGAGAGGCGCTCCTTCCGCAAGCAGCAGCGGCAGAGCATCGTGGGCGCAGCAGCGGCGAGATGTCAACTCCCTCTCCTCGTACGCAGGAGGTCGTGGGTTCAATCCCAATACTGACGCCTGCTGTATATTTGCAGTTTGCGGTGTGTCTCTCCCCGCGGCCGCGTGGATTTTTCTCCGGGCCCACCGGTTTTTCCCTCCACATTTATAATCAACATCATCGCGCGTATAGGGTATTTGGCCGCTACAGATTTCCCCATGACGATGGGCCACTTCTCTATTGAGCTATAATTTGTGATCGCCAGGTCTCTTCTGAAAAAGAGCTGAGTGGGCATTACCTGGTAAAATGGAAAGAAAAAAAATGCTTTAACAGTTGAAAGTTTGTCCCATCTTACGAGTAATGCCCACTGCTCATATGCAAAGACAAACTCCCCCGCCTCCCCCCATGGCCTTTAACAGACTGTTGGGGAAAGGACTATTTACATCGTGTAAATAGTTTAGTTTGGAGTCCAGGGGACCCGCGTGGAGCTCAGAGCAACGCGTGGGTGCAGTCGCCAGTCTCGGCGTTATCCACGAGCTGTCGGCGACGTCGTCTTCACAGAGACGGACAACCAATATCGACGCGCCCACAGCCAACGCCGCCCCCGTCAAGAGATAGCCAATTCACACCCCCCGCAGAGACAGCGGAGTAGCTGTTGAGTGTGCAGGCGGTGCAACTGCGACGGGTGGGGCGATGTTCGCCGTGCGATGGGGAGCGCGACATCCCACGGGAGAGGGATATCGGCAACGCCGCCAACTCGCGCCGATTAATAATCACGATCAACTTCTACGGCGATGAACTTTCTAAAATGTTAAATATGGTTACGCGCGTCTTTATAATTATTAACGCGGCGTTCTGTTGCTTTGACC